CTGTTCTTAGTACCGGTGACCAGAACTGGACCGCGTACTTCAGATGAGGCCGAACCAATGATCTATAAAGTGGCAAAATTATAGACTTGTCCCTGCAATACATCCCCTTTTTAATACAGGACAAGACCCTGCTAGCTTTGTTTACAGCAGCCTGGCACTGCAAACTACCTTTCAGTTTGTGGTCTACAATGACCCCCAAATCCTTCTCCATTTCCCCCATAATTGTATAACCCATTTGTTTATTTTTAATTCCAAAGTGCATTACTTTGCATTTATCGACATTAAACCTCATCTGCCATATTAATGCCCACTCCCCTATTTTATCCAGGTCCTCCTGCAATGTTATAATGTCTACGTCCGTGTCTATTACCCTCCCTATATTGGTGTCATCCGCAAACACGGAAATATCGCTGTTAACACCCTCCCCGATGTCATTAATGAATAAGTTGAACAATATGGGACCCAAGTTGCACTGCAATGGAATGCATGGCATTGCAGTACCATGTGTTCCGATGCGGGCAATAGAACTGTGGGTGGGAGATGCGTTAGGGGTGCAATTCAAATAAATGGCAATGCACCTCCCACACCAGAACGTGCGGTAGGTGCGATTGCGTGTTACAGTGTGTTAATTGCACAGGACTGTGAGATTATCGCACTGTACTAGTGTGAACGGTCCCTCAAAAACACAGACAGACACCACACAACCACAGACACAATCTCACACACACATACAAAGTCCAAAAATGTTTTTTATTTTTTTTTTTAAATCCACCCAGTCTCCCTACCTTACGAGAACTGGAGTGGATCCTCAGCCTGGGGTCCAGTGTGGGATGCTGTGACGGAGCTCCATTCATATGTGCATCTACGTGTACAGCTCACTTGCACACCCTGTAGAGGTGTCGGGAGCCAGAATGTGACATCACTCCGGTCCAGGCACCTCTTCAGGACACACAAGGGAGCTGTAAGCAATGCACGTATGGATGGAGCTCCCTCGCAGCCACAGCCCCATCCTATCCCACCTTAAGCTGACACTCTGCATCGGGCAGCATATTTTGAATGGCTGCTCGGCATGAGAACTGACAGTGCTGCGCTAGGGGGAGGCTGAGGAGCCTCTCCCCAAGAAAAGTGGAAGGCATTAGGTGACCCACTGAACACGGGGTCGCGACCCACTTTTGGGTCACGACCTACCAGTTGAGAACCAAGGGTCTAGAGCAGTGCTCCCCAACCTTTTTATCGCCGCGGACCGGTCAATGTTTGATCATTTTACCGCGGCCCGCTGAGGGGGGGACGTTGATTGTTTATATTTTAGATTGGAATCACCTGTCCCGATAAATCCATATTTCAAGTAGGACTCATGGTATTGTCTGTTAAAAGTTACATGTTTCTTTGATGTTGAAGGCCCTTCTTCTGTCTCTTCACTGGGCCTTTTCTTTTTCCCAAGGAAACTTTCTAACGATGTCTGTTTCGTACTCATTTTTGCTAATTTGTGGGTTAAATTTGAGCAAACACAATATACACGTACACCAAGCACTGTTAAACATGAGAAAGTACCGGTGAACAGAGAGAAGAGCGATACACACCTTCTCTTTACCAAAGCTACAACGCCACTGCCGCTTGCAGCCGCTCAGCTTCAGACGTCACCTAAAACCGCCCCGATATCACGATATTTTGCGCATGCGCGGTATTGGTGCGGCTTTAGGTGACGTCTCTCAGCTCCTGGTTAACCTCTCGTCCTGGAAAGTCGGACAAACCCGAGAGAAATACACCACAGTAAATAAAATGGAAATAATTTAATGTTCCTTGGGCGGCCCGGTACCATTTGATCCACAGACCGGTACCGGTCCGCGGGCCAGGGGTTGGGGACCACTGGTCTAGAGGAATGGAGTAAAGCAGATTTTCTGACCTGACCCCCACTCCCACCAGCTCCCTCTAGGCTGAGCACAGAGCAGGGTTAGCCCTACTGAGAGGGTCGTTTTTTTGTTTGCCTGGAGATGGCCTCTAAAGGCATATAGAGTAGGCAGGAGTCACATGATGAAAGATCATGTGAACTTTACTGAACATAAAG